GTCAGCAAAAACAAGACCGGGAGCTGACTGTGGCTCAGATCATGAACTCCTTATTGCCAAATTCTGACTTAAACTGAAGAAGTAGGGACAACCACTAGACCATTCAGGTATGACCTAAATGAATACTTAAGAGTGAGAAAATCAGTGCTATATAACAAACTTTTTAAAAGCACAACCCCCACCACAATAAATTTTTAAAAATTAGTTGCCACTCACATCACTGTTAATACCCTTTTTTCCCATGACAGTTTTTTGTCTGTTTCCTATAATTGCCTTTTCCTACAGCAATAATTTTGTAATATTTTCTATAGAGAGAATAGAAAAGATCAACTTCTCTAGCATGCTGTTTTGTCTTACATCATTTTAGTTTAGAAAAGTGTCTCTGAACTTTATAACTCAGCACTGATAATGTCATGTCAATTCTTAAAGTGTTTTTCATATGTGAGCTGTAATATTCGAAGAATATTCCACAGGCTGGTGTCTGGGCATTCATTTCGCATGTTGCTTCTTTTTACTGGCCACACAGTAACTAGCAACCTGGGGAGCCAGCAAAGTGAGAGCTCTGGACACTGCAGATAGACAGGCTCCAAGGCTGCCCTATCCTCACAGTGGGTCGTGGGCACAACACAATTCACCACCATGTGCAGGAATCTTGGTGATACTGAATAATTACTCACAGCTAGTTCATTAACATTACTGACACTTTACAACCTCTTCGCGTTTGAATCTTAGTTTGCCCTTTTCAGAAAAAAAAAACAAACACCTTAAACAGCTTTATTGCTATCATTTACATATCATAAATTTCACTCAAAAGTGTACAGATGATTATTAGCAAATTTAAAGACTTACACAATAACCACAATCCAACTTAGGTCATTTCCAGCACCCCAAAAATATTCCTCATGCTCATTTATTTGCCTCACTCCAAATTATACCTTCAGCTCCAGGGAACTACTAATCTACTTTCCATCTCCATGAATTTTCCCTTTCCGGACATCTTAGATAAATAGAATCACCTTGGTGGCTTTAAAGGTCCTTCCTGTACCTGTCTTACCCATCGTTAGTTCTGAGGTCTCTGGTCCTCACCCTCCAGCACTTGCAGGGCACTTCCTTCTCTGAATATTGTTATCCATAGCACCCAAACCTTTCCTCCATGGCATCTGTCTTAAGTTATTGCAATTTATCTTCCTGCCCTTTAGCAGTTTCATCTGTTCCTGGCTGATTGAGTGTCTAATTTAAAGCAGGTCTTGTGTAAGGCACTCTGACACAGCACCTGCCCCTGCATTTGTAATCTAGCTGGAGAGCCAGATATGAGCATAACTAAATAGTGTGACAAGTTCTACAAACTATGCAGGTGCTAAGTGCTATGGGATGGTTTGGAGTAATAGCATGTTTTGAGGACTTAAAAGTTAGTCGCTCAGTCGTGTCCAACTCTCTGCGACCCCATGGACTGCAGCCCGCCAGGCTCCTCTGTCCATGGGATTCTCCAGGCAAGAACACTGGAGTGGGTAGCCATTGCCCTCTCCAGGGGATCTTCTCAACCCAGGGATTAAACCCACCTCCCTTGCATCTCCTGAATTGCAGGTGGATTTCTTTACCACTGAGCCACCAGGGGACCCCCTTTTGAGGACTTAGGTGTCAGCAAACTTGATTTAGCTTAAACTTCAGGGGTCCTCACTTGCATAAGCCCTTCCCAAGTCCCCCCGTGGGGGGCAAGCCCTAATGATGCATTCGCTTGGTGATATGTTTCTTAATATTTGTAAAATATTTTAACTGGAATCAGTTAAGACCACTGTCACTTTCCTATCCAATCACCCTTCTGTCATATGTTCCCTTGAGTCAGGTGACTGAGTGGCCATGGCCATTTTCAAAATCCAACAAAACCTGAGTTGGAAATACATTTAGTTTGGGTTTAGTGGGATAATTGTGTGTGGCTCATCATCATTTCCAAATACTATTAAATATCATTAGCTATACCCTTGTAGGAATGACTTCCAAGAATACTATCCCCTACTGTTGTGACAAAAGTGCAGGATCAGAGATTGCATTGAATTATGAATGTTCCCTGCAGTGCCAAATGACCATTGTTATGTGGCTAGTAAAAAAGAAATGATGCTTAGAATCAATGGACTCAGAAGCTAGTCTGTGAACTATACTTCCACCTGTTACAGCTCAGGTATGAAAAACACTTGATTGAAACTTTTCCAAATTTATGAACAATAATAAGAATGTTCGTGACATTGCCAATAGCGAATTGTAACGCTTAAAGACTTTTCTAAACTATTAATGATATGTAAAAAGAAATTAACGTGCTAGAGAGAAGACAATTATCTTTTCTATTTTCTCCAGAGAAAATATTACAAAATTGTTGTCCCATAAAAAGGCAACTGAAGGGATATAGCCCCAAAAAACCTGTAGAAAAAAAAGAGTATTACAGTGATATAGCAGCAGAGTCTGTGCTCAAAATGAACATTTTCTCCTCGTCTCCATTTCCCTCCAAATAAAATTCTCCTTTTTTTGTTCCTCCCCATCCCCAGCTCTACTGAGGTATAATTAACTGACAAATAAAAAGTGTATATATTTAACTTGAACAAAGTGATGGTTTGATATCTGTATACATTGTGAATAATAACCACAATCAAATTGATTAACATATTCATCACCTCATAAAGTTACTTTTTTTCTGGTGTGGTTAGTCCAGTTAAGAACTACTGTTAGCAAATTTCAAGTACTACTAACTATAGTCACCGCACTGTACATTAGATCATCAGAACTTATTCATATTATAACTGAAAGTAATTTTTTACCAACATCTCCCATTTTCCCCATCTTCCAGTCCCTGGAAACTACTGTTCTACTCTGGTTCTGTGGATTTAACTTTTTTAGGTTCCATATATTACTGAGATCATATAGCATTTGTCTTTCTCTGACATTTCATTTAGCATAATGTTCTCTCCGTTTATCTATACTGTCCATATGGCAGGATTTCCTTCTATTTTATTGGTGACTAATATCCCATTATGAATATATATATATGTCATCTATATATAATTTTCTTTGTCTGGTCATGCCTTGGACCCCTTGAATTATTTCTATATCTAGGCTACTGGAGAAAAGGGAACCCTTGTACACTGCTGGTGGGAATGTAAATTGGCACAGCCATTATGGAAATCAGTACAAGTTTCTTCAAAAAATGAAAATAGAATTACCACAAATCCAGCAATCCCATTACTAGATAAATATCCAAAAGAAATGAAATAAGTATCTCAAAAACATATCTGCACTTGCTCATTTATTGCAACATTATTCACAGTAGACAAACTAAATCTCTCAATGGGAGTACTAGCAAATACTAGTAAATTTCCTTCTAGGACTCAGGTAAAGTAAATTACTTCCCATTCGGACTTATGGTTTAATGTGTCACTTTCAGTGAAGAGCAATGGTATTTTGAAACGCAGATGCTCATTAACACATATAAATAAGCCTTAAGCAGTGATGCAGTTTTTGCTATCATAGAAACTTACATTTTTTTTTTCAATAAAGAAAGGATATAGTCATCAGGTGAGATTTGCCACTTGTTGCATTGTTTGCGAACTAATTCATTAACTCAAGCCTCTTGAAGATTTAGCAAATAAAAATGGGGCATGCCCAGTTAAATCCGAATTACAGATAAGTAATAAATAATTTAGTATAAGTATGTCCGAAATATTCTAGAAGAAAAGAATGTGTGACCCAATATTTGGGCCATACTTATACTAAAAAAGGGCTTCCCTGACAGCTCAATTGGTAAAGAATCCCCCTGCAATGCAGGAAACCCGGATTTGATTCCTGGGTCGGGAATATATACTGGAGAAGGGATAGACTACCCACTCCAGTATTCCTGGGCTTCCCTGTGACTCAGTAGTTAAAGAATCCGCCTGCAATGCCGGAAGACTTGGGTTCGATCCTTGGGTTGGGAAGAGCCCCTGGAGAAGGGAAAGGCTACCCACTCCAGTATACTGGCCTGGAGGATTCCATGGACTGTATAGTCCATGGGGTCCCAAAGAGTTGGATACCACTGAGCGAATTTCACTATACTAAAAAAAATTATGTTGTTTATCTGAGAATCATATTTAACTGGGCATCCCGTGTCTTGTCTAGCAACTCCGTGGTAAGGAAGCTATGTGAAAGTTGGGCTAGGCTTCTTTTAGATGGTTTGTGGTTTTTACAAACAAAATGTCTCCAAGTCAAACACTGAGATCTCCCAATCACCGGGAAGACTAAGAACTTTCACCTCCTTCAGTTAAACCCGTGCTTCAAAGAAGAAGCCACTTCGGCTGTGGGAAAGACTGTCCCAAAGAGCTCTGGGTGGGTCACCATTTTAGTGAACCGCAAACCTCTGGGGCCTGGGACGACCACAGCCTTAAGCCAACTGAGAGGTGGCGGCTCGGTGGACTTGCTCTCTCCCTCCTCTCGGCTCAGTCCAGGAGGGAAAGAAACTTCCAGAGAGCCCCCGCCTCTCCCCGGATGGCCGTGGCTCTTCTCCGCTCGCCCCATGCCTCCCCGCCCCGCGGGCTGGAATGGAGCAGACGGCCCCTAGGGCACCGAGGACCCAGATTTACTCGCGAGTTTTGAAATCAGCCGGCAAGGTACACGGGGGCCGGCCGCCTCCATTCCAGAAAGGGCTTCCGCGGCAAGGAGGCCGGCCCAGCATCCGCGCTGCCGCTCGAAACCCGAGATGCGGAGGGCGGCTCCCTGGCGCTTTATTTCCACCCTGCCCTCCCGCGCTCACCCGCTGTTCAAATTTTGGTCGGAGGAGAGAAAACAGCCCCGCGCCGGGGTGCGCGCGAAGACGAACCGAGGGGAGACGGACACACCCTCCCGTCAGCCCTCCCCGCGCTGCGCGGCGCCAGGAGGCGGGGGCCCGGCGAGGCTGCGCCCACGGAGAACGCCGGCACCCCGCGGCGAGGCGCCGACGATGGCCGGCTGACTGGAGCGGGAGCGCCGCGCCCGGCGGGATGATGCTCCGGAGGGGCCCCTGGCCCTGGCGCGCGCGGCTGCTGCCGACCCCCGGAACCCGAGGCCGGGCGCCTCCGCGGCCGCCGATGCCCCAGGTAAGCCCGAGCCCGGGGCGAGGGAGGCGACCGGAAAACTTTGCGTGGGGCAACTTCGGCGGGCGCGAAAGCCCAGCGGAGGGACATGCCCTGCGTTTTGCTGGACCGTCCGCCCGGCTCCTCGCGCGGGAGGACCGCCCCCTCCCTCCCCGCGGCAAGTGGTCGCCCGGCCTCGGACGCGGACCGGGTGTCCGCAGTCGGAGTCACCCCCGGAGCCCGGGGAAGGGAAAGCCGGGGCGGCGGGGACTTGCGCCGGCGCATCACCTCGGTGAAGTTGGGGTGCAGGGGCCGTGAGGCTGCGGCCCGGGGCGTGGGGGCGGCGCAAATCCCCCGGGAGGGCAGTGTGTCCGCGTCCAGACCGCTGTCTGGAATAAGTTTTCAGAGCCGTTCTGCTGGCGGCCCGATCATCGGTGCCGAAGGGGGCTAAGGAAACGGTAGGGCGGCTGGAGTGCTGCCCCGAGTGAGCGCTGTGGTGGGAAAGCCAAATGCCCGTCCTGGAAACCGCCAGCACCTCCCTTTCGAAGAGGGAAGAAAAACTCGCGTTTTGTTCCGAGACTCGAGAGACGGGTGAATCATGAGTGTGTGCTGGTGAGTAACAAATGGCCTGACACGCTTGTATGTGGTCTGTGTGGAACCGCCGCTCGGAGGAGGAGGAGGGGGAGTGGATGTGCCCTCAAAGAGGCAAGGAAGACGGGGGGACAGTGCAGATAGTAACTGGGGTTGCGGCGGAGCCGGACAGCAGGTCAGGTGCCCTAACTCAGAGCCTGATGAGAAAAGACAGACTTTTTAAATCGAGCCTTCCAGGTGTGTGCGGTTGGGGAGCGCGTGGTTTGAGTTCCTTCCTAACACCGCCTCCCCACCTCATAAATCAGTTTCATATTGTTAACGAGAAAAAGATGTGTTTTTTTTCTTGAGTTGTGCTCAGTAAAAGAAAAGCGGCGAGTGATGCCGTTACCATTTTCTTGTCACTTTCACTTCCTGTTCATTTTTTCCTTTTTTCTTTTCCTCTCCAAGTCTCTCAGGGCTTGGAATGATGGAAAAAAAATCTTTAAATGCATTTTTAAATGCCTTCCCTGAAAGTTTGAAAGAGAATGAGGAAGGACATTTTGTTCCTTATAACTAGGAAAGGGGCAAACTTCTTTTTGGGGGGGGGTTGGGAAACTTCTTAAGACGTGAAATGGTAGACTTAATTGCAGAGAGGCTTTTTTTTTTATTTTGTGAAATTTGTGTCTTAGTATAAATGTTGTACTTTACAGGCAAAATATACCAAACAGTAAACAACCCAATACAAGGACCGCCCCCCCTTTCTCTATATACCATTTAAATTTAAATAACTGAGTCAGTTTTCTGTTAAATCTATTTAACATTTTGAATAGAATGTTTATGGGTCCTCAGACTGGCTGCTCTTTCTCAGATTGTCAACTCTAAGCTCTTTTCTCCATGTTTCCCACCTGATGCTATCCCAGGAGTGCCATTGAATGCCCCAGCGGGAATTGGGTGCTCTTTTAAAGAGGTCGAAAATGTTACCGTAGGGCTTACTTGGTTTAATTACAGGAGAACTCTGGTTATCACGTTGCCTCTATGTAATCATCTGAAGAAGCCTTATGTTTGACTGTTACTAATTTGCAGATTTTTAAGTCTTCACTGTGCTGTTAAGTCAATTTGCTGAACTTTAGAAATGGAAATGCTTCCATCGTTTTACTTGTCTAATTGAAGACCCCCAAAGAATAAAGAGACGTTTTGAATGTGCTTCTTTATATGCTGTTTGAAATTGTACCATAAAGAAGGTGACAGATATCCTGACTGCCTCAGAGTTTGTTAAGGCTGCTAAACTGTTTTCTGTAAATCAAATTAACTGATTGTGAAGGACATCTTTCATTCTAAGATCTCACTGTTTTGTGATTGCCTCATATATGAAAAGTGCTGTGACTAAAGACAAGTATTATTTCTCTTTATATTTTGTTGTAAACATTCAAATCCCTAGAGCCTCTGAAAGTAGCTGGGAAAAAAAAGTAATGTATATGACCTGACAGCTCATAAAATCCTAGCTTGCAAGGACTTGTCATTAACAGTATCTCAAGTAAGCATTCCCAATTATATCTGGCCTTTTCTGAAAGTAAGATTGTGCCTTACAGGAGCATTTGGTGATTTTGAAAAATAGACAGTTTATATGTTTCACATGGTAGGTAAGTAATTGCCAGTATTTTGGGGGTAGAAAGAAAGTTTGTCAACATGGGTACGTTTAGTATAACTGAATTGCTTTTAAAAGGACACATTTAGTCTGAGGCATAAGAGAACCAGAGCACGTGGTGTTGCCTCTGGCTACGGCATGGCCTGGCGTCCACAGTCATTTTCGGGGGTGGGGGGAAGTGGGAGGGGGGTCCCACATCTCTGCTCGTCTCCTGCGCTGTGGCTGAGCGGCTGGTGGGGGAGGCCACAGCCCCTGCTGGCCTTTCTGTTTTCGAGGACCCAGCTTCGAGTGATCATGATGCCTACTGAGTTAATCACTAAGCAGAAAGCTCCAGCCTTATTGCGCCTTCCTTAATTTGGGTCTTCTGTTAGCTGAAGAGACTCCCTGAGGTGATTTCAAGCCACTGGCACTGTATGTGGGTCTCTACATAAGCTATGTTTAAAATTTTTAAAAATTCAAGTGTACTTTGCAGAGAAGTTAAGTATTGCCTGTGCTTTTCTTTTCCCCCCTAACCCCTAGAAACAGAGCATAAACATGTTTCAACTCAGTTGTGTCCAACTCTTTGTAGACCCCATGGATTGTAGCCCACTACGCTCCTCTGTCCATGGAATTCTCAAGGCAAGAATACTGGAGTGGGTAGCCATTCCCTTCTCCAGGGAATCTTCCCGATCCAGGGATCAAACCCTGGTCTGCTGTATTGCAGGCAGATTCTTTACCATCTGAGGCACCAGGGAAGCCTTTAATGCCACCACCAAATATCAGTTTAGAAGTTGTTTTCATCTTTAATAAACGTGTCATTCTTGTTTGATACTTTCCTATGATTCTCTGTCATGTGTTTGTAATTAGCAAGTTGTAGTCTATAATCCTGATTTCAGAGCTGTCTCCCTATGATTGTACTTACACTGTAGAGAAGACATGGATGCTTTGGTCTCAGAGTAATTCTAGACCATTTTGTCTATTAAATGTTAAACATTACCACTTTCCCAGCGCTTAGGTATTAGGGCTGGGTTTTATTATTTTATTTTTATCTTACTGTTTATTTCAAGTTAACAGGGTTCTGTTTTACAGCAAGATCTCAGTTGGAAAATAATTTTGTAGCTTGACAGATAAATATTCAATATTTGTTGAATGTGGCACCTATGAAACTGCAGTAAAAAACCAGAGGCTAAATATTGGTTGATCAGTAGCTGTGTAAATGAAATGTATTTACTTCATAGAATAAAAATGAGCAGCTAATTTCGTTGGTGTTAGGCAAATGGAATGTTCGATGGCCAACCCGGCCCTGCCACCACTGAGCTCCTGAACTTAGCCAAGTCATTCAGCCTACTTGAGTCTGTTTTACTCCCTTTTCAAAACAAGATTTGTCTAACTGGTCTCAAAAGCCTTTTTCATCTCTAAAATTGCCATTTTATTATTTTTACCACGGGTTGTAAATACACTGTTGAATAAAATATTGTCAGTGTCAGAATGTCTTAGTGGTTGAAAATCCTCTTTTATGATCTTAGGCAGTCAGTAAAGTGGCAGTTTTAACTAATGATTTTAATAACTGTTTTCCCCTTTAAAAAGAAACTGGAATTTACTTGACATGGGGTGAGCATGGCATAGTTGTATTAGGAATTATGATTTGTCGTGTTCTAATACTTAATTCTGTCATTGCTAATGATTTAATCTGTGAAATGTTGTTTTTCAAGAGAATCTAGCTTTAGAACCCTAAAACCATTATATAATAGACATCTTGGCCTCACCTACAGGCTATAAACCAATAGATATTAATAATAAAATAGCATTATCTTAGCTGTATCTGAGAAGTATCTGATTTTTGATCCTGTTTAACTTACCACAGTATTAATTTTCCTGGTTTTTAAAACAAATGCCAACTCTTTTTTCTGAGCTATGTGTTTAGACTGCATGGTGTGGGATCCACCACCCAAATGTTTTACTGAACTTTCTTCACTGGCATACCTTTTAAGAAACAGTACTATAAAACGTGGTGGTCAGTTAAGAGGTGCCTTTTACAAGGACCTATGGAAGATACTACTGTCTAGGTTTAGTCTTAGAATTGGATTTCCCCCGAGCTGATTTGGGTTTATTATGCAGACAGTGGAGTATACAGCCAGGGGTGTTCACTCTATGCTCTGGCTGCCAGAAAGCCTTGAGTCAGATTTTCAACCCACCTTCTAACAAATGTGAAAGATCTTATGACATGCCTTGTATTTATTTACCATACTCATTTACTATACTCAGAGAGGTTTCATCATCTCTGCCTTCATTTTTCCCTCCATTCATATCTTCACCCATTTTTCTGTAATTATCTTTTAATGGGGAAAAGTGGTACATAAAGAAGGCTTTATTCAATTTAAAAAATCAGCTCTTTGGTGTTTGAACAAATATGTTCAAAGGCTTCCCCCACAGCTCAGCGGGTGAAGAATCCACCTGCATTGCAGGAGACATAGACAATCCCTGGATTTGATCCCACAGGTTCAACCCCTAGGATGGGAAGATTCCCCTGGGGGAGAAAATGGCAATCCACTCCAGTATTCTTGCCTGGGAAATCCCATGGACAGAGAAGCCTGGTGGGCTACAGTCCAAAGGGTCGCAAAGAGTCAGACACAACTAAGCGACTAGGCACAGCACAGTTTATGACAGAAGCGTGGCAAATCAGTCTGCTGTGCAGTGTCCTGGGTGCTTCACCCATAGAAAGTTCACCACACATACTGATTGTATTGTATTAAGATACCTTAAGAATCGACTTTTGATGCCATGGTGCTCTTTTTTGTTTTGAACTGTAATTGACAAGTGTGATTGTCTC